AAAAAAACAAAATGGTTTTTTTTTTGGCTTTTTTCCCCCCCCCCCCCCCCCCCCCATTTTCAACCAGGGATGCTAAAATTCCCCAAAGTGCTCGCTTATCACCAATTCAATCAATCTCCCTCGGCATTAACCCGCAACCATCCCATCATTTGACTCCCCCCCTTTCCCCGTTCCAAAATAGCCCGCTTTCAAAAGTGCGACCCAAATGTCTAAACGAGGCCCCCAAGAAGAAACTGCGCTTGCCAAGGGTCTCCCCTTCAATTCAAATTCCTCCAAAACTGGAAAATCCATTCGTGGCCCCATACAGCGCCCGCAAGCTGGCGGTTCTTCTTCCCTTTACTGATCCGCCATCTACTAATCAATCTCGTCTACTCCGTAAGGCTCTTTGTTCTTTTTCTCACAAATCGTTCTGGGCAAAAAAGCCCCCCAGCCGATCTCTCCCCCAAACCCGATCCATCTCCGAAACGCAATTACCAATTTTTGCAGCCTTCCAATCCCAGACAAGCCTCTTGCTTTCAATGAAACAAGGGGGGAGGGATAAGAATATGCAGTGCTTTAAAGCTCGCTTGTCCAGTTGACTACAACCCCTCATAGATACTCTTCAAAGTATGTAGTATTACACAAACGCGTACATATGCTACAAAGTTGATATCGCGTTCCCCCAAAAGATGGAATGAAATGAAACCAATGTAGAAGTGCACTGATTCGTGTCGCTTCTCTCCGTCTTACCTACTGTATACGATTCGCCCACCAAACGCCCTTGATTTGAAATCATCCAAACTAGTAATGTTGGCTAAGCATTTCCATCATTTTACCACCTTTGTTCACATATATGGCTCTAGATACTCATAGATCCACGCCGTTGATCGTTCGATATCAAAGTACCTATAACCCGACACAAGAATAATGTTCAAGTATCATCTGGACAAGAACCTCCCTCGCATCTCACAGGGCGTGTGATCAGCACACAAGTTTCGAAACATCATGTAGCCAATAGTTCTCGGTGTAGTCCGAAGCTGAACTCTACGTTTGGGCTTTAGATCTGTCGCTTGAGGCTGAAGCATACCTCTTCCCCCCCTTCGGTCTTCCGGCTCGTCTAGTCCCCCAAGAGGTCCAATTGTCAGATGCCGCGAGCTAACGAATCACTACTGCTGATTGTCGCCCTTCTCTTGTTCTGAATTCGGTATTAGCTAGCTGGATGGATCTCCGATATGGAGTGGCCTGAATCAGACACCAGCTCCATATATATATATCATGCAAGAAAGATGTTGCGGCGGGGAAGCAAGGACGGACCCGAGTCAGAGGACGTTGGTTTTTGTTTTTCGTGCTCTTTGTTCTCAGTTTGTTGGACAGCGTCCTCATCGGCCTCTTCGACATTCTTGGGGACTACTGCATGCAGGCCCATCACAAGGCTGGGATCGAATGGGATCGAAGACGGCATTTTTTCTGTTGAGCTGCGAAAACCACAAATGAAAAAGACTGCGAATGTGATGTCGTTAATTGCAGTACTGGGGTTGATTGACAATACCATCTGTATAGTATCTGGGTCGGATTGGGCGCTGGGCAACTATTAATACTCATCTGTGTAGCTCTATGACGTCTCCCCAAGTAAAGCAGCGTCCGAGTCGAGTGCTGTCGGGTTCCGTTGGCAGCCTTCTTCAAGTTACAAACGTCTGCTTCAGCAGAGCTGAAATGCATAGTAGCGGAGCGCGGATGAGAGGGTGCATATCCGACGTAAAGCATTAGGGCAACGATAGTCTAGGATAGTACACCACAGACACTGTTCCAAGAAAAAAACAATCCAGGATATTACACTACACTACAGACACTGCTCCAAGAAAGAACATTGAATCCAGATTGTTATAAAGCCTAGACACTTTCGGCTACTGCTACGGTATTCTACACATGCTCGCTAATTCTTGCTTCATCCGCTTTTTCAAATCCCTGCCGCCTCTTCCCCAGATCGCCCACCAGAACCCGCACAACATACATGTACTATTCTATCCACATAGCCAAGGCATATGATACATCATTTGTGACAGCGGCTACAGTCACCGGTGGACAAAGTTCACGACGGGCTCAAGTGGTGGATCCCTTCCCAGTTACCTGGAAGTTACTGTATAATATCAAGTATACGTACCCGTTGTCTAGGTAAGTACAATAGCCACCACTATGTGCCAAAGTGGTGATGCACTGAGCATGCGATGACACCCATTGTCCCTTCATCCCCAGTTCAAAGCCATCGTAATGCATACTATGTACATATAATCGTCAATTCATGCGGCAAATGCCGTCCCGTCTTGTCCGGTCTCAAGAGGGATCATCATCATCTAAAATCTATCTGCACATCCAGCATGTGTGTGGTTTGTGTGCGTGCCTGTGTATGCCGCCCCCTTTCTTCTTCTTCTTTTCAGCTTGTTTGACCATGGTCGTCTCACATTTACCCACGGTTTACACAAAATGTCTACGTATGTACGCGCCATAGTCGTTTTGAACCGTATTCATATCTCATGTTTTCATCCACCAACTCTTCGTCATGTCATCATTTCACTCGGTCCGGGCGGCGTTGTCGCCCTCCAGGTGGATTTCGGTAACCTCGTCTTCGTCGTCGCCGCTGGGAGGCCCCGTAGGCACTGTCAAGACGTCCTCGTGGGCGTCCGCAGGGGATGGCGCTTCGCCGTCCGCAATTCCATTGGCGGAATCGGCCGATGTCATATGAGCATCGGCTTCAAACAAGTCTCCCTTGGAGCCGCCCCGCTCATCGCCAGATGAGTCGAATTGTGCGTCATCGCTGGCATACTCGGCGGCTGTAGATCCCTCAGCTCCACTGTTATCGAGCCCGCTAAAGCTCCAGCTCTGTGTCATGTCGAGAGATTTTGGGCCTGCCGCTTGGTAGCTGCTTGAAGCACCCAAGCCTTCGTCCTCGATGCTACGGATTGCCTCTTCGTATGGAGGAAGAGTCCCGTCTTGGCTATCGGAAAGAGACTTGATTGTGGTGTGAGTGGCGCCAGCCTTCGAAGGCGAGCCTCGGCCGAGGCTGTCGTCGTCGGCGGATTCGCCCTCGTCGTCGGCGCTCGTATCCGTGTTGTACTTTTCAAAAATTTGAGCATATCGCGGACCGCCCAGGTGGCCGCTGGTCCGGCGACGGTAGAAAAGCAGATACGCTGCGCTCGTGACCACCGACGAAGGGTCGGAAACTGCTGAAACGGAAGAATCTAACATCAGACATTAGCCCTTGCCCATCTTGTTTTCTCATGCGTAGAATCGCCCGAGAACCGGAACTTACCATTGTAATTATACCACCGCCCATCGACAAAGTTCTTCGCGTACGCGGTGTAGTGGCCTCCGCCCAGCCCTCCGTAGTGGTCATCAACGCCAATCAAGTCGTACATCTCTTCCCTTCCATCTTCCTTTTGAATGACTCTTGAGGAAAGGTCGAGTCCCTCAATGGGGAAGTCGACCAGAACATCCAATTTGTCTCGTCGCCATCCAGAGCTGCTAAAGCGCTTCAGGTGGCAAATCAAGTAGTCTGGTGTCTTCCAGAGATCGAATTTCTTGCTGGCTCGCCGGTGTTCTTTGCATCGCGGGCAATACCACATATCTTGCTCCGACAAAACCTCGGCTCTTTCAAATTCGTCCAAACACTCATCCAGACTGATGCCTCGGGACCTACGAGATTGACGCCGTTTCTGGTTGACCTTGAGGCCGGGGTCGTTGATGGTTTCCAAATCGACAAACGTCTTGGCTCCTTGACTTGCATCCTGCTTCTTCCCAGTGTAGCCAAACACCGTCTCCCAGCCCTCCTCGGACCAATCCACTACGAGGCCCTCTTGAAGTCGAATTAATGGACCACCGTCAGCAACTGCCGGGGGCGTCGGCTCAGAATCGACGACTGGTGAGCGCTGCGCGTGCTTCCCACCCCGCATTTGCTTGTCACGACGCTTGTTGCCCTTTTTACCATACTGTTTATGATTCTTCATTTTCTTTCGTCCGCCTGCGACCTTGTGAGCGGGAGCTCGGTTCCCACGAGTTTGAGCTAATTGCTATATGCATCGACACTAGTCAGCAAAATCATCACTCAGGGGAGTAATCAAAGAGGAGTTCGGTTGAAAGCTACGGGGCGAAATTGGGAGAAAGAAACTTACCCGGGCGCCGTGAGGCAAATCTTCTTCACTGGACTCGTCCGCCATGCGTGTCTGTACAGACTCTTGTTGAGGGCTCTCATCCTCGTTACTGCTTTCCTCGTTGCCGGAAGCGGTGCTGTTCCAGCTCTCGGGGCTTGCCTGGTCTTCATCCTCCTTAATGGGTGGCTCTGGGATGCGATCCGCGAGCTTTGGAAGAGTACGGTTGTTATCGACGTTCGACCAACCGGTTGGAACAGGGCCATCGGCCGTGGCGGCAAAATAGCTGAGCTCAAAGAGGGTCTGGAGTTCCGGGTCAAAGAACTCGCCGGGTTGGACAAACTTGGGACGCTGAGTGTTGAATTGACGGAGAAGCCGTGGCTCATTAGGCAGAGGTAGCTCAGGAGGAGGCATGGCATTAGCGTTGGTCTGGGCGTCCTTCATGGTCACGTCGACCATGTCATCTTCTCCCTCGACTGATTTTGCAACAACCTTAGTGTCTGCAGAAGAGTCGGCGTCAGATGCGGTAGTGATAACCATGTCAGCCTCGGCTGCGTCCGAGCCTTCAGTGCCTGGCGGCTGGTTCAACTTTGACCAGGTCGAAAAGGTTGCCACTTTCTCCATTACTTTGCGCTTGATGATTTCATAGTTTGACGCTTCTTCCCTTGTCAAGATGATGAAGTGCGGAGGAGAGGTGCCTTCAGTCACTTTGCTGGCGCTTTGTGGCCGTCGGTGGAGAACTGGCACCACCATTCTCTCATACCTGGGGTCATCCCATTCATCCGTGGTTTCAGGTGGCGTGTCGTCGAGGTCCAACATTGAACGAGGCTTCTTCTGATAGCCCTTGGCAGGCCAGTTGGTAGGCACAGCCTCCAACTCGTGGAAGGTCGCAACGTCGGAAGTGCCAATCTCTTCTGATATGTCTCCGCTGTTCTCGTAGATTTTGAAGAACTTATCCTTAAACTCTTCGGCACCCATCAGACGATTCACCGGAACACCTGTGCGAATTGACAAGAATGACTTGAGAGTCTCAATCGAGCTATGCTTGGACAGCTCAACTTCAAACTTGACGGGGATGTCATTAAGAGGGAAAAATGTGACAGTCTTGGCCCACATGTTCTCAACGGGCAAGGGTAGCGTCAAGTTGTTGAAGGGGTCGAATGTGATGCTAATTTTACTGCACACGGGGCACTTGAGAGTCGACTTGTACATTCCAGTGAACAGATCGAAAATAACGGAATCGTCTCGTCTTTTGGTGATATCCCACACCTTGTCCGCCATCTCCTTGATTGCCGCTGGGTTGTTGATCATGTCATCCGTAGAGTCTGGCTTCTCAATGTATGGCTTATTCTTGATGCGACTGAGGTCTTCCTGGAGGGCATCGAGAAGGAATCCAAGAAACTCTTGCGAGTCTTGCTGGCCCCAACCAGCAAAGGTGGAGCGAACACGGCCAACAGTGCTTTTGAAATCTCTGGGGACGACAGAGCCTCTGCCTTCGTCATAGATATCTTTCAACAGCCCGTTGTAGGCCATGGCGACTCTGCCGTTGTAGCCTAGGGGATTAGTCTTGTTGAGCTCGGTAGAGAAGGTCCCCGTCATGAAATATTTGGACAGTTCTTCTATGGCACGGAGGCACTGCAGCGCCGAGTTCATGTAGCAAGTGTTGCCGAGATTCTGCAAGCCCACGGCGCCAAGGCTCCGGCCGTTTCTCTTCTTTTGCATCCTGCCACGAGTGGCGGGCCCATCGGATGAGCTGGGGCTGCTCCGGCTGCTCAAAGTCTTGGACAGCGCGGTGTTATTAGTTCGCGTGGGGATTGCCTTTTCGAGTGACCGACTCGTGCAGGTGCTCACCCAGAGGTTCTTATCAACCAATTCATCAACAACGAGGCTCTCATCAGTCACTAGATCGAACAGCTGAATTGAGGCGGAGCCATTGTAGTTGGAATTTACGGTTTGATCTTCGAGGGTTGCTTGCCGTCTGGCATTCCGAACGCTGGCGAAAGAAGGAACGTCAAGGAGCAAGTGTGACCAGGAAGAATCTGCCGCGCCATCTGCAGTTTGATCGCGACCAGGAGAATCGGGTGGCGTTGTGAGGGCCGCCGGAGGTTGGGCACTGCTCGTTCCAAGCTGCTCCGTGTTCACAACGAAAAGTCGAATTTTGCGGTCGACTGGAATGCCGGCAAGCCGTTTAATATCCTTGATGAATGTCTGGGCATGATATTTGCGGCTTCTGGCCAGAGAGAGAGGAGGGGGATTCTCGGCTTTGAGGGACTGCTCGATTGGTAGCGGGCTGAGCTCAGACCACAGGCGATGCACACGAAAAATAGGGGGATGAAGCTCAAAGACAATCTCGGTCGGGGACTGAGCATCGACAGCAGTATTGATAGCCGTGCGGACGATGGGTTTTTGCCCCTCTTCGACGCCATACCACTCCATGACCATACTCCAGGCATCTTCGGGGAAGAGTTCGAATGATTGTTGATCAAGACCAGGCTTGAGGCGAACGAAATCTTCACGGCCAGGCTCTTGAATGACTTGCTCGATAATGTCTGAATTGTCGACTGGGCCCAATGACACTTCGGTGGTGTCCGCCTTGCCTGAGCGTAATGACAAAGCCTTGTCCACCCAGGTACGTGATACGAGGTATGCTTTATCACCCTCCTTTGGTAGCTTTTCTGCTGAAGCCTTGAGTAGCATTTCAATTATCTTGACCTGCTCAATGAGTGGGGGAGGAGGGGCAGCTATAATGGGGGAAAAAAGGCATGCGTTAGTAACCGTGCGACATGGAGTATTTCCCTTTCTCAAAGACGAATTTTACCGTTTTTGTGGAAAATTCCCAGGTAAGGATACACCAAAACTTACATTGAGCAGAGGAGATATCGGTGCCGTTGGTCAGCGGTTCCGTATCCGTGACTTCTACAACGTCAACGCTCATAGCGCGGGGCAGGTCTGCCGAGGGGTTGGAGGAGGATGTCATTTCCACGTCCCCGGTGCTGCTGGCAGCATCGATGTTCTTGTCCGGGATAGTTTCGGGATCCATGCTGGAGGCTCGTCGTTTCAGCGGAGAGGATGAACGTTGGGGCAGCTCAGCATCTCCGTTCATAATAGCCCTCTTGGAGATGAGGAAGGGCGACTGGCTCCTGGCGTAGGCTTGCACGGAAGCGGCGTCGTCTCCTCCTCTTTCGCTGCTGTCGATGGACGGTTCGTGATAGAAGGACGCGCCGGGGGACGAGGCAACGGACGAGGCGTAGTCGGCAGAGACGAGAGACGAGTTGACGTGGGCCTGGGCCTGGGTCTGAAGGCGCGGGGGCACGCTGGAGGCAGTGAGGGAGCCGGCACGGACGTAGAGCGGCGCTTCAAGCCCGGAGGCTATGGGCGTGGCGGAAAAGGAGAGGGCGGCGTCGTCGTCGGGCTCGCACGAGGGGATGGCGGTGTCTGGCGATGGAGAGGTCGGGTCGTCAAGATCGATCGTCAAGGGACGGGCAAGCTTTCTCTTCTTTGAGGAAGACGTCTTGACAGTGAGCTGCCCGGGCAGCTCTGGAGGAAACGGGGAGAGCGAGTGGTCGAGGGAGGCGATGGGGAAGGCCTTGCATCTAGACACAGGACACAGCAGACCGTCGCCTTCGAGGGGTTGACAGAATCAGCCAGACAGAAGAAGCAGGGCCACCGGACATCGGGGCAGTGGAGGCGGGCGGCGTTGTTTCGTGCGAGTAGAGGCGGTGTTTGACGGGCTGTGTGTGGGGCGTCTTGTCAGCTATTTCTGGATGGACGTTTTTCTTTTTGCCAGCGGCTCGAAGGGGCAAAGACGTCACAGCACAAGTACCGCCGGGGTATCTGCGAGTACAGTGCCGGTAGCCAGCAGCCAGCGCAAGGGGCAGCTGGGCAGAGCAACGGCTGAACTGAACAGAACAAATACTTCCGGCAAATACTCGATGCAAATGTATGAGTACCCGACCCGACGCTTGATGCAACACAGCATGAGCTGGTGGATGCTGGACTGGGCATAGCGCAGTGTCTTGTGCCGCGGTGCCTGGGCTGACCTACCTGTGGGAGTGCCTGTAAATCCGTGGCCTGTGCCTGGCGAGAGGTGACAAGACAGCAGCCAAGAAAAAGGATCAATACGTATGGGTACGTATGCCTGCGCGTGCCTGCAGGTTCTGCCGCTTGAGCAGGTGAATCAAGCCAAAAACAGAAACAAAAGGAGGGCGAAGGAGAAAAAAAATAACCTAGAAGTGAATCGAAGAAGGAAGAGGAAAGAAAAAAAATTGTGAGCGAAGCGAAAGAGGAACAGCGGGATCTGCTTAGGGCCCCGTTTTGTACGTAACCAGGCCGCGAACCGCTAGAGGCAGAGAGAGGCAGAGCGTTGGCCGGGCCGTGAATGTAAGTCAAGGATGATGGATGGAAAAGTAGAAACCCTGATGATGGGGAAGGAAGAGATCAAGTTCGTGTCGCTCGTAGTCGGGATGATTCCGGCTTGAGATTTGCTTGTTGTGGTTGTGGTTGCTACGGACACGATACTGGTAACAACAACGAAGCAAAAAAGACAAAGAAGAAAATACTACATGTACTAGTAAAAAACAAAACCAAGCCACATCAACAAGAGTTTACTGGTCTATCTAAGTACTTGAGGTACAGTACCGTAAGGTGCCCCCTTCCACCAACTCACGAACAAAACAAGAGCCTGAGCACCGAAAAAAAAAAAGAGGGCTGTAATACGTCTGGTGCTTGTGTGCCTGTACTTTTTAGCTGCAGACAGGGCGAGACAAAATCCCCACACTTCGTCCAACAGCCGCCCACCTAAATGACCCTGGCAAGGGTTAAGTGAATTGATTTGATCCATAATCCCATCAGCCGGCATGGCCAGCGCACAGAGCCAGCAGGGCCTGCAATTCTAAACTGCCGTGGCGTGGCGGATATATCACGGCTGGTACATGGATGCTAATGTAGTATGAGTACACGCTCCATCTGGAATCTTTTCAGCTGTCCTCTCGGGATGGTGGCAAACGCTTTCGGAATCTTCTATTGCAGGTCTAAGAGTAATTTCATCATCGAGGAATTAGGCACCGATGGAATTACGAATAGATATAATATCTACAAAGGGACATTGCCGTTGTGGTCGATGACAAGGGGCCTGTCTAATACTGCAAAGTTATTGAAGTAAACATGCGGCCGCCACTCCCAATTACACGCGGCATTCGTGTTATCACAAGACTCCTAGTACCAATAGCTTGAATTGTAGCTGCATCATAAAATCTATACTTTCATGTTACTTTTACCTGACAACACGAGGCTTCTGTAAACTCCCATGGCTACATGTACATGTTTCACTTTGGTACCTACAGGCTACAGGTAGTAATATTTCTAGCGACGCCAACGCCGTGGCGGTTGTTGGCGTCCGCCGGATTCAGGGAGACGGTCGATTGCGCCGGCCCGCAGAGATTTTCATGGACGTCTCAGTGCTAGACACACGGCGTACTCGTGCTTAGCTTAACTAACTGGCTTTGAGCTTGGTCATCAAGCAGCTGAGTGAGATGTCATGAAGACTACCTACATAGAATGACTGCTACACCGTGTCTGAATCATCTGATATGCCCGATACGAGAGTACTTGGTGCCTTTCTGGGATATCCTGACTCTTTGAGAGCCTTGTTACACAAGCAAGAGCACAGTAAAAGTGAGGTGGTCTCAAATGGTGCTTTTCTAGCAATACAAGTTCTCTACAGCAACCTCGTTCGTACAAAAAGTCGAGTCTACCACCTATATAGTTGTCTTTTTACCAATCGAGGCGAGAGCCCAGGTAAACCTGGCAATTGTCCATCTAAGGCATCCTCGGGCAAAACAAGAACTAAAGCAGAAACAACCCCGAAAACCGCCGCTCTTCTTTCTCTTGAAAAAGAAAGAGAGGGAGAGAGGGAGAAAAGCTCTAAAATATGTACTTGCAGTTATGATGCCACTTCCACCTCTCCCCAAGGAAATCCCCTTTGCTTGTGCAGCATCAAACATCTATCAGGTTTCCTTTTCTTTTTTGTTTTGAATAATTGGAAAATCATCGTAATTCATCAAAATGCCGTGGCGTTTCAAAGCTTCGAATCGGCCTCTTCGAACTCAGTGAGCTCCTTGACGGGGCGAGCACCAGAGCTTGCCTGAAGACCGGCCTTGTACTGTCGGCCGTCGGTAATCTCTATGGCTGCATCTATGGCCGCTGCAACATCGCTATCTGTTCCCTCAACCTCAGGAGAGGCCTGAGGTAGTCCAAGCTCCTTGGCCTTGGAAAGCAGAGATGCGCGGTTATCTTCGGAAACTGATTGTTCCGCCTTGAGATGTCCTTCCAACGAGTCGAGGCTCGCTCGGCTCTCTTTGGGGACATCTTCCAGTCCCAGGTTCTTCAGGAGGTCTACAAGCTTCAGATCAAGTTCGTTGGACCCCCGAGCATACAAGTGAACCGAAAGACGGGCCCGGCTGCTGGAAGATGGGCTAAAGTATTTGTCAAAGAAGCTCAGCATGTCAGCCTTCGTAAGCGGCTTCACGTGGGCGGCATCTTCTTGAGCTAGAGAGTTTAATGTTAGTATCTCACGCATATTAACAAGATCAACCATGTCGCTTACCTTGCTCAAAGTCGTAGTATTCGCTAGAAATTTGGGCCCAATGTCTCGAGGTCTCTTGGTCGAGATTACGCAGCTTTTCGAGTCTCTTGATGATCAAACTTCGCTTGTGACCCTCAAATTCACTATCCGTCATTTTCTGGATAGTCTCTCCAAAGCGGACCAAAAATGCCTCGATACGCCTGTCCAGGTAATCGGGAGTCCTCTCGCTCTGGATCAGGAAGCGGAAGCCGCAGGTGGTGGAAAAATTGCGGATGCTGGCGAAGACAATATATCCAAGCTGCTCCTTCGTCCTGAGCTGATCGAATGCGGGCTCGTGCATCATCTGATCAATAAGAAGAGTCTTGGCGCGAAGCACTCGGTCACCCCTGTCGCCCACGTACAGCCACGTTTCAACGCAGTGGTTGACGTTTGCGGGGTCTTTCAGCGTCTTCTTGTAGACGTAGTTTGACCCAGGAGGTAAGATGAGTGAACGAATGATGGGCCACTGAGACTTGGGCAAGATGCGGGCCTTGAGAGTAGACTCAATCATGTCGGTTAGCTTCAGAGCCTCACTCTTGTACATGTTTCCGTGTACGTAGACCTCGACGTGCATCTGGGCCAGCATTTGCTTCTGAAACTGTCGGACGTCATCTGCGGTGACGTCTCGCAGTTCCACGGCAAGCTCCTCCACCAGGTAATCACCTTCTGCGTTGAGCCAGGATGTGTAATCTCCCACTTGCTGATACGAAGATTGAAGTTGCCAATTGTCGTAACCCCGAGTAAGACGTTCCTTGACAATGGCGAAGCGAGCGTCTTTGATGGTGATGTCTCTCAGGGTCGCGGCGACATGCTCGAGAAGAAGGGGAAGCTTGTCGTTGTATCCCGAAATGTCGAGGAACAAGCCTCGAGAATCCATTGACACCGTGTACTCGAGCCCTGCAAGTTCTGCATCGTACGAGTATTCCTCCAATGCATCTCGCACCAACTCCGTAAACAGTCTAGCCTTGACGCTGCTCTGGGCAGAGGCGTAAATGATGGGATTCTTCAGGCTCACAATGACATTTGCCTTGGGAACCCAGAAGGTGTCATCCTTCTTCCACCAGGTGCGAGCCTCTGCGTCGTTTCGCAGAATCCGAGGAGCCAATGCAGGCTCCGACACCTCCTTCTTCTCCACCTCGAGCTTGCTAGGGATGAAATTGTTCTTGTGAGGTAAGTGTAGCTCTGGCAGTCGCTTCTGGCTGGGAGTAGCCATGGCACGCCTCCAATCATCCATCAGATCCGCGGGGATCTGCTCGTATGAATACTCTGTACCATACCACTTCTCCTTCTGGTCCCAAGTGCCCGGGAAAGTGCGTGACACCACGGAAAGACGAAGATTGTCTGGCTGAATCTTGGATAGAACCTGCTCGATGAGCTTTGAGTCGAATGCTCGCAGGCGGCTGTGGGCACTCAATAGCCACTCTCGCGGCAAGGGCTTTTGCATCACAGAACTGACTCTGCTAGTGAACCGGCTGGCAGGAGTCTTTTGTCTAAATTTGAAGTCCACGTCGGCCATACCCTTTTGTTCCTGGAAGATCCATTCTTGAGGGGGGGCTTCGCGAAGGAGAGCAATGTACTGGAAAAAGATGTTGATAATTTGAGGATATACTTTGAGGCCCTGTAGTATCGAGTTGTTAGAGGTTGTCAATCACTTGGAGCACGGACTTGGGCTTACTTCTTCCGTCAATCGGATCTGGACCTCAAAGACACCTGGTGTGCCGGGGCAGATTGGGTAAGCGCCGGCAGATAGGCTATTAGCCCAGCCCTTGTTTTTGATATATGACATGATACTGCCGGGTCCCTCATGGCCAATGAGGTGAGAGCAATATCGACTGGGTTGGGATTCGTACAGGTACTCTTCGTCAATGAAGGGGAAGCAGAGGTTCAGCTCTCTGGTGTCCATGACTGGCTTCGCGAACCATTGAATGCCAATGTCACTTGGTCGGAAAGGGAGCTCGTCTGTCCACCTGTTGGGGGCCAGGTTTTTGTTGGCAATGCCGGAGAAGAACTCGACGGTCCATTTCTGGAGCACATCAAGAGGCTCTCGACCCAAAATGACGAGTTTCATGCGATTGGCAGAGTAGTGCTTGGCATGAAATTCGATGAACTTGTCTCTGACATTGATCCCACTGGCTTCAGGGAGAGTCTTGAGCACCTCTAGATTGCCAGTGGAGAAGTGGCAGTAAGGGTGCTTCGGATTTGACAGAGACTTGTCAAGCTGGTGCAGGCGCCAGGTGTCATTCTGCAGATTCTTCTTGTTCTCCGAGTCGACAGCTTTAAGCTCCCTGTCCAAGGTGCTGGACAAGAAGAGCGGCTCTATAAAGAACTGCGCAAAGCGATCGAGGGCCTCCCGGAGG